CCCAGCCGACATCTCAGGCCCCTGCCTCGTGGACGTGGAGCCCCGGCCTGTCCCCTCACGGCAGCCGCCCTGCTTGGCCCAGCTCCTCGTGGGTCTGAGAGTTTGCTCTCCAGCCACCTTTTCTCCCCTGGAAACCTCCGTGGCTCATGTGGCCTCTCGACACCAGTCCCTCTCCTGTGGTGGCTAGAGGACTTTTGAACAAACCCACGCGCAGGGCCAGCCGTTCTCTTCTTTGTTTTGGTGCCTCTGCTTTAGACTTTCACAGTTGGACTCTTGCTGCCCGTCCAGCGGGCCCTTGGCAGGTCAGGCTGGGGAGCCGGCCGCCAGCCGGTGGGGAGGGGCCCTGGGTCCGAGGAGAAGCAGCCCCGGCCTGCAGGGCCTCCCAGCCCGGCGGTGGGCTCTGGTGGGCGCCGTGCCCGCCCGTGTCCCTGCGCCACCCGCCGGGCTTGGCCGCTGCCCCTGGGTCTTGGCTCAGATGGGGCCGGCCCGTTGGATGCTGCCCCCGGGCTGTGCTGCACTTGCCCTGCATCCTGCCCTGGCAGAGTCGGAGCCACGGTCGTTTCCGCTGCCCCAGCTAGTGCGTCTGCCCGACGGGGCACTGGCCGTGCGAGACTGCGTTTAGAGAAGGCTGGCCTGGGCGTTTGCTTGTGCGGGCCCACCTCCCGGGGCCCTTGCTGCTGCGCAGGGATGGCCGTGCTTTCCCATGAGGCTGAGTTTTCAGCCCGCCTGTGTTCTGGGGGCCCCGGGCGTCTCCGTGATGTCTGGAATCGTGATGAGTCAGGCAGCGCTGGTGTCCGCGCGGGCGACAGAAATAGCTCTTTGCGAGCAGGTGTCATCTTGACCGGTGCCCGGGTGACAGCCGGGAGGCGGGCGTCAGGCGTGTCGCTGGGAGGGAAGCTGCCCTGCTCTGGGAGCCGAGTGCCCCACCTGCTGTGTTGGCTTCTGAGAGGCTTCGGCCCTGCTTGAGAATCCTCCCTGCCTGTCTGTCTGTCTGTCTCTCTCTCTCTCACACACACACACACACACACACACACACAAACAGACACACACACATATTTGTGCCACGTCCGCTTTCATTGTGGACGTCCAGCCTGGACGCAGGTAGCTCAGGAAACAGCCCCCGTGGTCCCCTCAGGCTCTGCTAAGGCCTGTTTGGGGCCTGGAGGTGGCCGGTTCCCAACAGTGCCCTGTGTGCTAGAAAAGAACGCGTGTCCTGCAGCTGTGCCGGCTGTGCTCTATTTATGTCCCAGAGATTACACTGTAAGTCTCTCGTGTCCGTGCCCAGCTGTTTGTTTTTCCGTCATCCGGTGGTCCGTCAGGGGTGGCGGGGGAGTGGGCCTGGCCTGCCTCTGTGCCGCGTCCCTGCATTTCCCCAGCACCTTGGCTTGGTCAGCGCTGAGGCTGTGCTGGGGCACCGGTCAGCTCTGGGTCGGCAGAGCTTCCCGTGATGGACGCCCAGTGTGGTGTCCTGACCATCTCTCTCTGTCACATCCAGACTTTCAACCCTTTCTGGGCGTGAATATGGCGATGTCAGCCTTCTTTTTGTCACTGTTGGCTGCTGTATCTTTTTCCACTTGTTAAAAGTTTTCCACCTCTGTGTCCTTATATCTCACGTGTTTCCTGTAAGTCAGTCTTATTTTCTTTTTTCCGTCTGATCTTTGTTTTTTAATTGGAACATTTCATCCATTTACATTTATAAGGACTATTAATCTATCCTGATTTATTTTCACCATCTTCTTTGTGTTTCTTTTTATGCTCTCCTTTCCCTCTGTTTTATCTTTTCCTCGCCCGAGTCCTTAACACTAGCTTACTGCTCATCTTACAAGGTCAGTGACTTCGTTTCTCTAGGTACAGAGTGAGTATCTTTACCCTCCAACTCAAAACCTTCAAACCCTTTACTGCCAGCACCCTCTCGTTCCATGTTGTTGTCCTGAGAGAGTCTTTAAAGAGAGGTAAAACAATATTCTTATTACCGATGTACGTGGAGGGCGTGTGCATGGATTTACCCATGTAGGCACCATGTTCCTTGCCCTTCGTTCCATCCTGCAATTCAGACCTTCCATTTGGGAGCGCATTGCTTCCTGCCCGAGCCCAGTTCTCCCGGGAGGGGCCTACGAGCTGACCGTGGGGCAGGCGCCACGGAGCTGGTGACGTGGGGAGAGCTCACTGCTCTCGGGAGGCGAGGCTCCACTCCGCTGTGTCCCTGGCGGCTTCATTTCCCTTCGCTTCCTGGTGGCTGGTGAGGGCGGCGTCCCCGTCCTGACAGCGGAGAAAATAGCGCATGTTGTTGAGCGACACCTTGTCTGTGTGTGTCTGCGGCCGTGGCTTGGCAGGTGGGGATACCTGCCCTGGGACCAGCCGGCCCAGCTAGCTTTGGGGATGGGCAATGGTGGCACCCGGCGCTGAGTGCCGCTGTGCCGGGGAGGATGCCAGAGGTGTCAGTGCAAGCCTGCAGCCCTTTCCGCAGGTGTGAGCCCTGAGCTGCTACAGGTGACAGCCCGGGACATGGGGCCTGCGCTCCATCCTGCCCTCCAAACAGAGGCGAGGAAAACTGGGAAAAACTGAAGCCGCCTAGAGGAGTGAAACCGGGGGAGACATTCCCCAGGTGAAGCCTGGGTGTCCCCAGGTGACGCGTGAACCCTCGAATCTCTCCGTCCTCAGGACCGGCGCTGGGTCTTGCTTCCCCTGCGGCTGTTCTTTGCCGCCGTAGGTGGGCATCACAGCCCAGCAGCTCTGCCCCGAAACCAAATCCCAGAGCCAGGACGTCCTAGGGCTGGGCGGAGGGGGTCAGCCTCTGTCCCTGGGCGCCGACAGGGCTGAGTCCGAATTGAACGTGGGCCGAGGCGTCCCGCAGCCCCTCCCGGGGCAGGGGCTCCTCCGGGGCCTGTCCTCCCGCTTCCTGCCGTCCCCCCACCCCTTCCCCGTGCTGTCGCTGCCCCAGCCCGTGGCCGTGCCGGCCCTCAGGGCGGCCTGCTGCTCCTCCTTCCCCTCCCAGCACCTCCCAGCTCCCCCTCGCCTCTTAGGACTGAGCCAAGTCTGCACGCAGCCCCTCGGGATTGTGTTGGCCCCGTGGTGATCACAGAGCTCGTGGCCCAGTGTCCTCAGGCTGCCACACGGACCTGGTACAGCTGACTCATGACGCCTCCACCTCCTCTCGGTACGGTCACTGCCCCGTGCAAGGTCACCGAGCACTGAACAGCTGCCGCCTCAGCTGGGTCCTCAGGAAACACAGGAGACGTGGGGCATCCGTGACGTGACAGAAGGGGACGCGGGGCATCCCCTATGTGGCTGACGGGACATGGGACGTGCCGAGGTGTGACCGAGGGGACGCGGGAGGTCCCTGATGTGACCGAGGGGTCGTGGGACGTCCCGAGGTGTGACCGAGGGGACGCGGGAGGTCCCTGATGTGACCGAGGGGTCGCGGGAGGTCCCGAGGTGTGACTGAGGGGGATGCCTGCCGTCTCCTGCTGTGTTGCGGGTGGAGAAGCGGTCTGGGCTGCAGGCTGTAGGAGTGGCGTCCACTCACAACGTTAGAATAAGTGCACAGCGTGACTCCTGAGGGCCGTGTGCTGTGTCTCGGCTGCAGGTTGGTGGCGAGGCCCCTGGTGCTTGTGGGCGTGGAGCTGTGCTGTTTGTGCCTAGTCGGGGCAGCTGGGACGGGGGCACTCCGCCGTGAGCACACCGCCACCGCGCCCTGTCCTTGGCTTTGCGGGCCTGGCTGCCCGCCCCAACCCCCTGGATGTAACCACCCCTGGCGGGGCAGTGCTGCCTGTGAGCCCTCTCTCCTGCGTTTGCCTTCCATCTGCTTTTCCACGTGTGTCTCTGGATGCCCAGGGGCCGTGGGCTCTGTGTGTCCGTAGTGCTCTGTGTGTGCTGAGTTTCTCAGACCTCGTTGGCAGGCGTACCCCTTGCCGTCCCCTCTCTGGAACACCTGGTCACTCCCCGTCCCCCGCCGGTCCCATGGCCTGAGGCCTTGGGTGCTCATCCCTCGCTCCAGCGCTTCCCACCAGGACCCTGGGCTCTTCCTGCTGCATCACGGTGTGTCCTCGTGTCCCCAACCACAGGGAATCTGGGGTGTTTCCAGGAGGTGGGCCGTGGGCTGGGCTGTGCTTCCCTGTTCCTGCCCATCAGGGATGTCCAGATGCATGAGTCTCCATGGGCATTACAGGCCGTGACTCGGGGCAGCTGTTTCTGGCACCCAGGGGGCCTTCCCGGGTCAGCGCAGAGGGACACTGCACATCCTGCAGGGGGACAGTGTCCCACAGTCCAGGGACAGCAAGCCTCACCGAGTGCGGCCACCCTCCCGGCCTCCCCAGACCTGCCCAGTCCCAGCGCGTTCACTCCCAGCAGGTGCTTCCTGAGTGGTTCCGCTGACTGGTCCCATCTACTCAGGGGCGTTGGCGAACGCAACCCTCCTTTGTAGGCGTGGTGCACGCTTCTGACCTGTGACCGCACCCAGTTCACAGGTCACCCCGCCGGCCACCGGGCAGACATCCTGACACTGCCGTTTGGAAGGCGCGGTGTGGGCTCCAGGATGGCTTCCGGCTGCTCCCTGTGCCAGGATGCTGAGCCCTCGGGGCTGTGGTGCTTTCTGAGGGCCGTGCCCAGCCACGGCGCTGGCCTCACATCCCGTCCACAGGGAAGGACGGTGTGGGGACAGGCGGTTCCAGGTGCGAGACGCAAACGAGGGGACAGCCCGCCTGTGCTGACCTTGGCCTCCCGGGAGGGCAGGAGGGCAGGTTCTCTCAGCAGCCGGCCTTGTCCTGAGGGGTCACACCCGAGGCAGGATCGGGGGCAGCAGGACCGTGTGTGTGGCGCTCCGCCACGGGCCGTGTCACCTCCCGTGTCTGCAGTCAGCCCGGTGACAGTCTGGGCGTTCTGTCCACAGTCGGGTTCGCTGGGCTCGGGGCAGCCGCTCTGGTCCAGCCCGCCTCTGCTCAGTGCGCACCGGCGGGAAGCAGGTGCTCACCGTGCTGGGTCCTCACTGCTCTCTTTCTCAGGTCCAGACGAGGAAGGAGCAGCCCCTGCCGCCCGCGGCCAGCCTGAGCATTCCCACATTCTACTTCCCCCGAGGCCGCCCGCAGGACGCGGCGAACGTAGACGCCATCATCGCCAGGATCGAGAGGACTTTCGCCCAGTTCCCGCACGAGAGGGCCACCATGGGGGACATGGGCCGAGTGGCCAAGGTGGGTGTCTGCGCGTGGGGACGTGGCCCGCGGTCCCCCTGCGGTTGTGGCCTCACACTGCCTGGTATTCCCTGGGGCCTGAGGTTCTCTGTTAGTCCAGCTGTTTGGACTTGGTGCTCCTACCACAGGAGCTGAGACCCGACCCCTGGCCTCAGACTCGGGATCCCACAAGCCACAAGGCACTGCAAAAAGAAAAAAAAAAAAAAAACAAAGCAGGGCAATAAGAAAGAATAAAAACTAAAGTAAAATTAGAAAAATAAAAATATTGTAAAATTAAAAATAAAACAACAACAACAAGGCAAAACAGAACCACGACAGCAGAAAAAAGAAAAAAGGGGGCTGGAAGAGGCCTGAGGGGTGGGGCTTAGGCCTAGCACAGCGGGAGGGGCCCTGGAGGGCTGAGGGTTAGGCCCAGGACCCCGGCAGGCTCGCCAGGGCCCGAGTGGTCGGGGGAGACTCTGGCCACGCTCCCCTCTGACCCCCTGATCCCCCTCCCATGTGGGAACCCCCCCCTCCCCGCCCCGAGGGTGCCGGTCCCATCCCACCTCCACTTTGCCTCCCCTCCTCCTTACCCTCCACGTCCTGCCAGTTGCTTGGGAATCCCTCCCTTCCCTTTAGATGTCTGAGGCCCCACCGGCACCTGGCCAGTGCCCCGTTGTGAGGAGACGCGGACTCCGCCTCTTCCTGTGCGCTGTCTGGACCCCTCCTCCTCCAGGGTGTTTACTGCCCCATTTTTAACTCGTGTCTGTTAGAATGAAGCGGTCTGTTCTGTTGTCTGTCCCTTCAGGGGAATTCTCTTGGTGTGTTAACTTCGAGTGGTTTCTCTGCTTCTTGTACTTACTTACATTTCTCTTACTCTGAGTTTAGGAGAAACAATTATGTGTCGTAGTCTTGGGAGGCTATTTTATGTGGGACTGTCCCTGTGTAGCTTGTATGGGCTTAATATTTTTGGCACAAGGGCAGCTTTTAGTTTGGATGCTTGCCACCTCTTTCCTCAGCGTGTGCTTGCTGTTACCCCGTAATAGGGGTGTGCAGGGGCCGGCAGCCCGTGCGCACTCCCGGGGCCCCTACCAGCAGAGGCAGTGATTGGCGCTTGCTGACAGGTCTCTCAGCAGGGGCGGTGGCCCGCGCGCGCGCTCCCAAGGCCCTCACCGGGCAGGGACAGTGATTGGCACCTGCTCGCGGGTCTCTTAGGCACAGTGGCAGCCGGCCTGCTCGCGGGATGGCGGGGGCAGTGATGGTTGCCTGCTCCCTCGTCTCTCGCAGCGGCGGTGGCTCACGCCCAGCCCGGGGCTCGTGTAGGCGGGGTGCTGTTGCCTGAGAGCGCGCGCGCTTGGGGACGGAAGCGTCTTCAGTGGTCCTGCCGCTCGCCTGCACATCCCCCGACAATTGCTGCTTGCCTCTCCGGGGGGCCCAGGCTTCTTCCACGTACACCCTCCATGGCCACACTCCAGCCCCTTCAGGATGTCCCGTCCTCTCCCCGGGTCTGACCTCTGAAGCCCAAGCTTCAGCACCCAGCCCCCACCCGCCCCAGTGGACGGGTGTCTCAGTCTGGGGAGCACAGGGCAGCAGTGACCACTGTATGTGCAGGTCCCTGTCTGCGTTGCCTTTCGCAGACCTGTTGCTGTGCTCTCTCTGAGGCCCTGAAGCTCCCCCTTCATCCACGCTGATCTCCCTGCCAGCGAGGGCACTCTCCAGGGTGCAGGAACCTTTCCTCTTCCACAGCTCCCTCCCTGGGGCCCAGGTCCTGTCCCCATTCCTTTCTCTCTCTCTCTTTTTCTCTTCTTTGTTTCTCCCTGCCTGGTTCCATGGAGATTTTCTTGCCCTTTCTGAAGTCTGAGGTCTTCTGCCAGCGTGCAGTAGGTGTCCGGTGAGAGCTGTTCCACACGCAGGTGGGTTTTTCTTGTATTTGTGGGAGGATGTGAGTTCCATGTCCTCCTCCTCCTCCGCCGCGACCGCTTTCCTCCACATTTTCCTCTTCGAGTTTTAATTTCCTTTAACGTTACTGCTTTATTAAGGGTTTTAATTTCTGGGGTCACTTTTGGTCATTTATGTTTTTTTTCTAAAACAATCGGCATGATTATAAATGTATTGTTCTAAAGCTTTTCCTTATCTTCTCGTATGATCCTTTTAAAATTTTTGTTTTCTTTTGGAGTATAGTTGATATACAATGTTGTGTTAGTTTCAGGTGTACAGCAAAGAGATTCCCTTATACATATATCTATTTCTATTTCAGAATTTTTTTCCCACTTAGATTATTACATGATATTGAGTAGAGTTCCCTGTGCTATACAGTAGGTCCTTGTTGATTATGTAGTAGGGTGTATGTGTTAACTCCAGACCCCTAATTTATCCCTCCCCGTTGCCTTTCCCCTTTGGTAGCCATGAGTTTGCTTTCTAAGTTTGTGAGTCTGTTTCTGTTTTGTTTATAAGTTCATTTGTATCATTTTTTTAGATTTCACATATAAGCGATATCATGTGGTATTTGTTTTTCTCTGTCTCACTTACTTCACTTAGTATGATCATTTCTAGGTCCATCCATGTTGCTGCAAATGGCATTATTTCGTTTTCTTTGATGGCTGAGTCATATTCCATTGTACGTATGTACCACATCTTTATCCGTTCACCTGTTGATGGACATTTAGGTTGCTTCCATGTCCTGGCTATTGTAAATAGTGCTGTAATGAACATTGGGGTGCGTTTATCTTTTCAAATTATGGTTTTCTCTGGATACATGCCCTGGAGTGGGTTAGCTGCATCACATGGCAACCCTGTCTGTAGGTTTCTGAGGAACCTCCACACCCTTCTCCACAGTGGCTGCACCAGCTCACATTCCCACTGGCAGTGCAGGAGGCTCCCTTTTCTCCACACCCTCCCCAGCATTTATTGTTTGTACATTTTTTAACAGTTGCCATTCTGACCAGTGGGAGGTGATACGTCATTGTACTTTTGATTTACATTTCTCTGCTAGTTAGCAGTGTTGAGCATCTATTCATGTGCTTTTTGGCCATTTGTATGTCTTCTATGGAGAAGTGTCTATTTAGATCTTCTGCCCAGTTTTCGATTGGCTTGTTTTCTTTCATACTGAGCTGCATGAGCTGTTTGTATATTTTGGAGATAAATCCTTTGTCACTTGCTTCGTTTGCAAATGTTTTCTCCCACTCTGTGTGTTGTCTTTTTGTTTTGTTTTGATGGTCTCCTTTGCTATGCAAAAGCTTGTAAGTTTAATTAGGTCCCATTTGTTTATTTTTGTTTTTATTTTCATTCCTCTGGGAGCTAGGTCCAAAAAGATACTGCTGTGATTTATGTCAGAGTGTCTGTCTTTGTTTTCCTGTAAGAGTTTTATAATGTCCGGTCTTACATTTAGGTCTTTAACCCATTTTGAGTTTTTTTTGTGTGTATGGTATTACACAGTGTTCTAATTTCTTTCTTTCACATGTAGCTGTCCATCTTTCCCGGCACCACTTATTGAAGAGACTGTCTTTTCTCCGTTGTATATTTTTGCCTCCTTTGTCATAGGTTAATTGACCATAGGTGCATGGGTTTATCTCTGGGCTTTCTATCCTGTTCCGTTGAATCGTGTGTCTGTTTTTATGCCAGGACCATACTGTTATGATTACTGTAGCTTTGTAGTGTAGTCCAAAGCCAGGGAGCCTGATTACTCCAGCTCTGTTTTTCTTCTCAAGATCGCTTTGGTTATTTGGGGGTCTTTGTATTTCCATATAAATTTAAAAATTTTTTCTTCTAGTTCTATGAAAAATGCCATTGGTAAATTGATAGGGTTTGCATTGAATCTGTAGATTGCCTTGGGTAGTATATTCATTTTGGCAGTATTGATTCTTTCAGTCCAAGAACATCATATCTGCACAATTGACCGTTTGTCTTCGTAGGGTTATTTATCTCAGATTCCCTTTGACTAGTCATGCTAGAGGTTAACTTATATTTTTTCAGATAAGAATCTATCAACTTCATTGAGTACTTTAATTTTTTGTTCATCTCCTTCATGAACCTCTGCTTTCATTTTTGTTACTTTCTTACATTTTTTCTGTTGTCACTTTTTTCCAGCTTCTTGAATTGAACAATTATTTTTCAGTCAGCTTTACTGAGATATAATGGACACAGAGTAAGACTCCCCAGTTCTAAGTATACAGTTTGACAGAATTTGATAAATGTTCACCCCTGTGGATCCACATCACTGGCAAGGTAGGGAACACTAATCCCCCAGGGACGTCCCTTGGACTCCTTGATCAGTGGGTTGGGCCAGAGGGAGTGGCTTGGGCATCTGCCCACCCCCTTGGTGGTGCCGTTTACACGGATCATGGGTGCAGGACCCTGCTTTTGCTCCTGGCACTGCAGAAGTGAGTTAGGTTCTGACTTTTCTGTGTCTTGTTCATAATTTGCCCCAGCTGCACGCGTGTGCAGTTATTTTTAGTCCCTTGTAGTTTCTTTGTATCTGTTGCTGGAGGAGATGTTTGTCCATGTGCAAGCCCTGCAGCAAAGCGTCCCAGGTCCTGGCCTACCTCACCCTCACTCCCTGGCCCTATGGTGCTATTGTTTTGCCTTTTCTAGAATTTCACATGAATGGGATCATGTGGTGGGTTGTCTTGGGTTTTTCTGGCCTCTTTCACCCAGCCTAATCGTCAATGTTCGTCCTTAGCATTTACTGCTAAGTAGCATTCTGTGTTCACACGTCCCTTGATGTATCTGTTTACTGGTGGATGAAAGGTTGTTCCCAGTTTTGTCTCATGAATAAAGCTGTTGTGTACGTCTGTACACAGGATTTGTGCAACACCTTTGCAAGTTCTCTGAGGTGAGAAATGCTGCAGGGTTGAATTGCTTAGTCATCCGGTGACTATATCTTTAATTTTATAAGAAACTGTAAAACCGTCTTCCAGTGTGACTGTCCGTTATGTGTGTCCAGCCAGCAGTGTGTGAGACGCCAGTTGCTCCGTAAGCTGTCAGCACTTGGTGTTGATGCTTTTTAACTTTAGCCGAGCTGG